GGAAAGCAAATGTATTCTTACAGACTTGATGTCTGAGCCATTTTAGACTACTTGTACTGATCATGCCGAAGTATTCAGAATGGAAGAATAGTTTTTCAAAACTACTTCTAGTTTCTATTATTAATATTTCCACTTTTTCTGTAATTCCTTTGCCCACCAACCAAAAAAATTTCAAGGTGGGGGCAGATGTCTGGTTTGCCCCCACCCCTCCCCTCTGCCCATGTTCACAAGGTAGTCTGTGAAGAAAACTGGTATACTGTGATGGCTCTCTTTACAGTTTCTTTGTATCAAAACATTAGCGACACGTTCTTGGGTCACTGCCAATTTGCAGTGGACATGTCCATCTCCCATTCAAAGGAGTGTGTGGAGTATGTATGTAGCATGTAATGAAAATATTTTCAATAAAGCATGATAATTGTAAAAGATTTCCTTGGAATGTAAACATACAATCTAAAATATGTGGCATGTGTGATCAGCCAAGATACATCAAAATCTGGAAATTCCCCCTTTTTTTAACCAAATACAACTAATTTAAAGGCAAAATTCAGTTTCTAGAAATGTCCAAACAGAAGTGTCAGTTCTGATCATAAAGGTTTATGTGCCAAGTGTCTATCGTCTATTGCTACAGGCTTGGATATAAGACAGCTTATAAGTCAGCCCCATGTTGCTTTTTCTTGAGAACTGGTAGTTAATCTGGTTTTCAGGTTCTCTGAGTGATGCAGAATGTGAGGGTTCATTTCAGTGTTCATGACAGCCTGCCACTGGACACTGCCTGAGCCAGCTCAGTCCAGTTCACATCCTATTTCTGTAAGATCAGTTTTAATACGGTGTATTGAGAATATTACCTCAAAATTCCAGGAGGCTATGTTCTCTTAACCATCATACACTGAAAAAACAGAACAGAAATGGTTTACTCAAAAAGATTGTCATGAAATTGCATGTCATGACATGTCTATTTAAGATCTAAAAGTTTGTGACCGTGGTATATTATTACAATTATTGTTTTTTGGAGGCATTATCCAGTGTCCTATTTTTTTTTTATTTAAAACAGTGTTTATGAGGCTGGATTCTGTCTCTGTCCTTGGGTAACAGCCTACTCAGTTTAGCCCAATTGATAGAGGGCTAGGAAGCAGCTCTATCAATTGGCCCCAACTAAGCAGGCTGGTTACTTGAGGACAGAGACAGAATCCAGTCTCTGAAACATAGGTTTAAATAAAAAAAAAAGGATATGTTCAAAAACAATTTTATGACAACTCTAGCTAAATTTTGTCCATACATGCCTCAGCAGCTGAAATATATGCTCTTTGAATTCTGGCAACTTTCCTATATATTTCCATAAAAGAAAGTTGTGGGGTGTTGAATTTGGTGATGTCAGAGGTGATGTGACTGAACCTGCCTCAGTGGTTTATGACCATGTGGCCAGTAGTTTTTGTCTTTATTTTTTCGCTTAGTATCAGACTATCAGTGAATCAACAATAAAGCTAACTTCACGCAGGGCCATATAAATATGCTGGTGAAGAAGCACTGTCTTGAAACTACAAAGAAGAAAAAAAATTATGAATGGCTGAATATTTACACTACTTCCTTGTGACTTTACATGGCTTTTGATGTTTTAAACAGGCTAATAAAGAAATGTATTGTGTGGCTTTCATGGCAGCAGCTGGTGTTTCTCTTTTTGTGCAGTGAATTCAGTTGTGTTAATTTACGAAACTGTAATGAAATTCTGCAGAAGTGTCAAAGTGTAATGTTCCCAAATATATGAAATGAGAAACTTGGAACATGTTCTGCAAGGAAGAACAAATGTGAATATATGGTAATATCCAGAACTTAAATACAGAATGAGGGTTGAAGAAAGGTTGAGTCTGAGTGTTTACTTAAAATTTTAATCTACCTCCAAATATTTCCATACCAAACAAATCTGATACAGAATGAAATTCAAATTTTCACGGGGAAGCATTAACTTATGAACCCTTAAATGCATACAACATATGTACCATCCTGTATGAATAAAAGATAAAACTAGCTTCAAAATATTTTCATAATGTGTTTCTAAATATGAGGTGTGGCGAAAATGGGCGAGGGCTGGATATACTTGTATGTTCAATAAAGACGGCAGTAAGATACATAACCTAATTTTGGAAGTTACCACTATAGTTAATCTAGCATATTCCCTATATCAATTGAGTGTACAAAGTGGCTACAATAGTTACTCTGAGGTGTTACATAAAAGGCTAGGCCACGAAACTTCTTTCAAGGAAAATAAAACTTCTGTCATTTTCGCAGTGATACCATCAACATTTCATGTCACGAGTGGAAAGTATTCTTTAGTGACGTAATTCGGTTTTCACAAGGATGATTCCGTGATGAACGTTTCTCGTTTTGATCAATTTCTCACCCATTCCTCTTTTCCCCAGCACCACAGAACTGGTCAATTAAATATTAAGCACCGAAAGTAAACACACAACCCATCTATGTGCTTATTCCTCCACTGCGCCAGCAAAATAAACTGAATAACGCAAACCGTCGTTCATTTTTGCGGTAAATTTGGCTTGGGTCAGATTTCATTGCCGAATATTTGTAACTTATAAGCAATGAGTGTTCTCGTGTTGAAGTTGGTATACAGGTTTATTCCCGCGTTCAGTGAGTGTTTAGAATGGTGTTAGTGAAATTGTGACAGGTATTGAAATATAAGTGGGTTGCCCTAGGTATGTAAAACTAATTTTTAGAGTCTTCTGCGTATTTTTAGCCTTTCTCCAGTGTTTGTATGGTTAGGTTTTAAGTAAATGAGCTGAAGACATGTTAACACATTAATCTCCAAAATCCCTCTTTTCTCTTGCGATGAATTAGCACTATAATCGAATAGTTTAATGGGGACGCATATTTCGGCATTTAATGACCACATCTATTAATAATTACGCAGTATTTTCACGCATGATATACCGAATTCTTAGCATTTACAATGACAACTATAAAACATTAACTCTGATGTAACCACGAGAAGTGACTGTGATCTGTTTATGATCACTTGATCTAATCAGTGGGATGGAAACATCGTCGTTTAAACAAACCTGATGAGAGAGACCATCAGCATTATATCTTAGCATAGGAAGAAAAGCAGGCATATGCGATTTCTCTACTGTCTGTGTCTCACAACTTACATACTAGCGAACCAGTTTTGAGCACGCTTGAAACGAGCTTTATGCCATTTGAAGTAACTCCAACATTTTTCTAGTCAGTAATAGCATCTTGGCGGACGCACTAATTCGTTAGGAATTGTTAAGTCAGCTATTAATTAGTAGGTTTACTATGGCTCTCATGTTTACAACATTGCTATAGTTACTATTATTTACCAGGATTGATATGGTTAGTGTTAGTTACAATTATTATTATTATTATTATTATAGTTATAGTTACATGATTACTACCAATAAGTGCATAATTTAATTGTATGGAAGAAGGTTTTGCGAGGTACATTCAGAACTTTTGTGTTAACCCAAATCCAGAACTATGAACACATTACAGCCCCGAATAGTATGTATCTATCTCAGGCCAATCACTGGATGTCTGCAGACTGAATTTACCGGTTTCGCATGAATCTGCTCTTGGTTTCCTAAATATTATAAATCATGTGCCATATTCTACCATACCAATTAACCCTGAACTTGAATTTTAAAAACTAGTTTTTAGGAAATCCAACCAGTTACAGAAACAAGAAACTAAATAGACTTGAAAGGATTCTAACGATGGTGTATACTGTACTTCTTCTGGCTTATTTTGGACTTCATCCATCGTCTGGTATGTAAAAGACAAAAGACTACGACGTTTCGGAGACCGGATCTGTCTCCGTCTTCAGGTGGGTAGGGAAGGATAAAACCTACTCAGAAGAAGAAACTAAATATCAGTAATAATATAAATGTCTTATGTATGTATTGAAATTCTTACTTAATTTATGTATACACTACAATCGATTCGAAAATTTTGAAAATTATTTTCTTACATTTGTGGTGTACATCATGAAAAGAAACAAGAGAATTCAATACCAGCAGTTCGGCGTAAACTATGCAACCAGCATTTCGTCGGTGGCGGTTGTGTTGCCTTACAATTCTGGCGCCGAGAAAGTACGTGTATTATGCCCACACAAAGTGGAGGCCATCTGAAACGTGTATAGTTACTACTTTTCAAGCACTGCAGTTCCTTTACTTGGTGTGGGTATAATTTTACCGGAAATGAGAATTTAGGTCGGAGTATATTACGACTGTGCAGGCAGAATTAACGAACCTGACTTAGTAGATGCATATGACCAAGTAAGCCTCTTGCCAGGCCTTTGGGGGTCACACGGATGAGGTCACCACGAGGTCACCTGACACGGAGGTGATAGCTTCGGGTGTTGCTTGGTGATCTCATCACGTTAAAAAAAAAAGAATGGTGTCTCTTCCAGACGTTGCGTCCATTGCCTTTTACCTTGATAACTACAACTCCCTTTATCTTCTGAGATTGCTGGCTAATGTATAGAGATTGCGCATAGATTTAGGAATTTTTCTTTGTTTAATATGCCTGTGAGTACAATTTAACAGGGAACACTAGTTCTTCGCCGAGAGTTATGATGAGACCAAATTTTCGTATCCATGACAATCTATTGTTGTGTTCCTTTTTGCGAATTCCCTTCCCAGAAGCCCGAAACTTCTGTCTCTCTGCATTCACTTGTACACCAAACTCCTTATTAGAGTCCAATGGAGATTCTTTGTTTTCCTTTATGGTGTATATATATTTATCCAATAAAAGAAAATAATCAACATAGAACAGAGGCTTATTTGTCCTATTTAATTCCAGTTCATCATAATCTTCTTTGTCCTCCTTAATAGCGCGTTCTAAACTAAGTTATAACGTTAACATACC